CACCTGCCTCTGCCTCCTGAGTGCTGGGATTAAAGGTGTGCACCACCAACACACTGCTCAATTCTTATGTTTTTAACATTATAGATAATAATATCTCAAACATTTTTGCCCACAGGTTATTTTTTTGCCTGTATTGCTTTTTTTCTTTGAACAATTTCAATGATAATTCTTTTATCAAAGGCATGACTACCTTGACCACTCATAGAAGCATTTGCCTAGCATGTGCAAAGTCCCAGAAGGATAAGGATAAGCCCCATAAGAGGATAAAGTCAAAGGTGTAACATCTGTATGCCTTTTCTTTTAAAGAATTTTACCAACGTATATATCTACATTGTATGAATGGGACTGGAAAGATGGCTAAGCAGTTATGAGCAATTGCTGCTTTGCAGAGGGCCTGGCTTTGTTTCTCATCACCCATACTGTGTTGTTTACAGCTTGCCTGCAACACCAGCTCCAGGGGTTCTAACACCCTCTGCTGGCCTCTGTGGACACTTTCATATACAGACAGACACACATACACATAATTAAGGATAAATCTTTTGAGGAGATGGGGAATATAGCTCAGTGGTAGAATGCCTGCCTGCCGTGCAGAAGGCTCAGGTCAGTCCCTAATATCACAGAAAGCAAAACTGGGCACTATATTTATGTGGCTGTTTTTGTTTTATTGAATATTTATAACACTGAATATTGTTTCATTTAGTTTTTTTCCTTTTCAATCATTTGGTGCTAGGAATTGAATCCCCAGCCTAATGCATACTAAGCACATGTTCTACCCCTGAGCTATACCCCAGCCAAGCAGTTATTGAGTCAACATTTAGTTTAGTGGGGCTAGATAGACAGCTCAGTGGTTAGAACACTGGCTATTCTTCCAGAGGACCAGGGTTTGATTCCTAGCATCCACATGGCAGCTCACAGCTGTCTGTAACTCTAGTTCCAGGAGATCCAGCACCCTCTTCTGGCCCTCTGTGGCACTAGGTGTACAGATATATATGCAGGCAAACATAAACATACACATAAAATAATTTAAACAATGCTGGTTGGTTGATTAGGTTAAAAGGTGGTCTTAAATTGTTTAACTTTGTAGTTTTAATCTATATAACATTTTTAATGAAAGTTTAAATTTTTCCCTGTAATCCCCAGCTTCTATCTTTTTCCTACCCATACATTCAGAGTATAAATTTTTATTTCTCTTTCTTGTACCCAGGTCTGGTCCATCGAACTCACATGTCATCCTGCCGAGTGGACAAGCCTTCTGAGATAGTGGATGTTGGAGATAAAGTGTGGGTGAAGCTCATTGGCCGAGAGGTAAAGTTTCCTGTGACTTCATGTGGTTTGAAAGATTATAAAAAGCTGAGGTTTTATTGGAATTCTGTGATGGTGAGTGTGTAAATGTTCATTGTGGCTGACGTTCTCGTTATTAAATCTTGTCCCAGTCATCTGTCTTGAGTTTGAGTTTGAATCTTCTGGTTGTCTGTCCTGCAGACTTAGGAGAAACAACAGGAAGTATGGAAGTGTGGTAGGAGTGTTCATAAAACTCTCCTCCTGAGATTCAGGAGGAGGAGAACCAAAGAAGGAGGTTGCATCTTTACCACAGCCCCAAAGAGTACTTGTCAGGTGCACTTCGGCTTGGGCCAGAATGGAAAGGACACACAGTTTACACTCATTTTTCCTAGAATTGACACCATCTCATGGAATGGACAGCGTAGGCATGGGAATACATACCCTCTGTGCTCTACCAGGGAACGGCAGGCAGAAAGCTATGAAGCTCTTAAAAAACTGAAGGCTGTTTGAGTGCTTTCAGTGTATTATGTTTTGTAGATTTAAGACTGAACCAGAGCTGCGTGTGGTGGCATACCCTTGTAATTTTAGCATTTGGGAGGCTGAAGCAGGGGTGTGTATGTCTGCTGTCTGTCTGCCTATCCCTATCCCTACATGCAGGCCACGTGTGTGTGGAGATCAGAGGCCAGCTTGCTGGAATTTCTCCCTCAACCCTGCCCCCACCCCATGTAGATCCTGGGACTCAAACTCATGTCATTAGCTTGGTAGCAGTCACCTTTACCCACTGAGCCATCTCACTGGCCCCTGGCCTCTGTTTTACCTCCAAGATAGGAATGGATAAAGGTTATATTCTATATCTCTTCTGCCACTAAGTCTGCCCTTTCTACTTCTTTTTACTACCAGTGTTCTTAACTTAGTACTTAGTCCATTTGATGTTTGTTATGATGATTGCAAGCTTGACTCTGAGGTATTACAAATTGGTGGTCAGGTACTTAAAGGGTTTGGAGGCCTGGGAACATAGCTTGGTTGGTAAATGCTTGCCATGCAAACATGAAGACCTGAGTTCAGTTGCACTAGTACCCAAGCTAGGTGTGGTGATACACTCCTATAATCCCAGTGCTGAGGAGGTGCAGACAGGAGGAGCCTGACTGAATGGGTGAGCTCCCATTCTCAAAAAAACAAGGCCCAGAGGGATGCCCCTCAGGTTGATCTTTGGCCTCTATACACACATGTACCCACATGAACACCTCTTACACACACACACACACACACACACACACACACACGGATTTTGGTGACTCTTGTTTTGTCTTTTTCAGATGAAAAATGATAGAATAAAAGTGTCCCTCTCCATGAAAGTTGTCAACCAAGGAACTGGGAAAGACCTCGATCCCAACAACGTTATCATTGAGTAGGTAAAGGGTTCAGAAGAGCTAAAATCCCACCACAAGTACAGATTGCAGTAAATCACAGTAGGTTGGGACTGCTACCATCGTAGGCTGTGATGATATTAATGAGTAGCACGGCATCGATGCCCTTTGGTTTTTCTAGGTGTAAAGCGTGCTTCTTGTCTGTGTTGAGGCAGGGTCTCACTGTGCATGCCGACACAGCCTGCCGTGTGGCGCCGGAAGATGAAATGACTGCACCCGACTCTGGTGCTGGAGGGTCTCGTCGGCAGTTTGTTTTCTTTCCCTTCCCTTCAGTCGCAGCAGCAGGTGCTCACAAAGTGCTGTCACTTGCCTCTCCGCGGTGACCTCTGCCCTGGCTCTGAAGAAGGGTGGGGATGGGCAGTGCTAGCTTCCTGTCTGACCCCTGCACCTCCCATGGCCTTCTGAGCTTTTACTTCAGTATAGAAGGTTTTCTCTTTATCTAAGTGATGTCTGGAGATACAGGAAGCTTCAATCTGATTCAAATCCTTTAGTGAATTTCTTTTTTTTGAAAAAAACCTTACATTCACTTATTTGTTGGGGGGCATTGTGGGGGTCAGAGGTCAGCTTGTGGGAGCATTTCTCTCCCTCTGCCATTTAGGCCTCGGGGTAGAGCTCAGGGCCTCAGATCTTATGGCAAGTACTTTTGTTTTGTTTTGTTTGAGTACTAACACTGGCACACGCCACATACTAATTGAATTGCGTGGATTGGATGAAAAAACAGAAACAAGGAGACCACTGAGAGAGTGAGCAACCCTTTCACAGGGGTTGTGATTTAGATTTAGAACCACAGATTTAGAACCACTGCTCTGTGTGAGCTGTGATGAAGCCTGAGCAACACAGTGGCAGTGAGGGCAGAGAGTGAGAGCTGAAGGTGAGGCCCTTGCTCTGTGGGAGGACTGGTGGGCTTGGGGTGCCTTAGAATCCTAGAGTACTGGGGTTAACTCAGGGCCACTTAAACTGCTCTTCAAATCAAGACACCTGGTTTGAATCCATAAGCGAGTGACTTCCTCTATGTTCCCAGATGCCTGTCTTGGTTTTTGTTGTTCAGGTTTTATTATGTTTTGTAAGGACTCATTTCTCTAACCCATACCAGATAAATGACTCTTTATGCATTTAACTTCTTCTGGGGCAAAGGCCAGACATTTGTGCAAACATTTTCAGAACTTAAATTATATCTAGGTAGCTGCGAATAACATGGGACTATTGAATGTAAGTTAATGAAAATTAAGTAAAATTTAAGAACTGGGTCTGATGGTGCAAACCTGTAGCCCTAGCTAGCCCAGGCAGCTTAGTGAGACTCTTGGTTCAAAACAAAAAGTAGAAAGGGGCCTGGAGCTGAAGCCTGCGTGCAGTCTGCGTGCTTGCCTAGTGTGGAGTAAATCCTGGGTTCAGTCTTCAGTATCTCAAAAAGTAGAAATAAGCAAGTGACGTTTAGTATCTTTTTTCCATTTTTATTTTATCTGTATAGGTGTTTTGCCTGCATGTATGTGTGTGTGCCACTTGTGTCTGGTGCCCTCAGAGTCCAGGGGAGGTGTCAGATCCCCTGGATTAGAGTTACAGATGATTGTAAGCCAGTATCTTTTTGATGCTGGGAATCAAAACCACAGTCCTTTGGAAGAGCAGCAGGTACTCTTAACTCATGAAAGTGCTCCAGCCTCGTGAAGTTTAATATCTTAATCTGTTAGTCACACTAGCCACATTTTAAGTGTTTAATAACCATATTTTTCTCTGGACGTGGTAACACATGCCTTCAGTTCCAGCAGAGGCAGGTGGATCTCTGTAAGGTCAAGGCTAGCCTGTCTTTGACAACAGCAAAATAATACCATATAGCAATGAGAATAAATGATTCATAACTATAGACAACAATGTGGATACATTTCACAAAAAATTATACAGGAAGTCTGTGTGTGTGTGTGTGTGTGTGTGTGTGTGTGTGTGTGTGTAATATGTCTTTTGATACTGGAAGGTGGAACCAGGACTTTTTGTTTGTTAGGCATGTATTCTTAAAACTGTTAACATCTTAAGTACTCTACTACTTTTATTTTGAGACAGAGCCTTGCTAAATTGCTCAGACTAGTCTTGAACTTGTGATCTTCTCCTTAGACTCCACAGTCCTGGGATTGTAGGTGTCTACCATCACTGCCAGCTACTGTAAAGAGAAAGTGGTTTTGTGTCAGAAGAACAGCGGTTACCCTGGGAGTAGGCTTGATAGCAGTGAGCATGGATGACTGGTTTTTGTTGTTTGTTTGTTTGCTTGTTTTTCAAGACAGGGTTTTTCTGTAGCTTCAGAGCCTTGCCTGTCCTAAACTCCTTAGTAGACCAGGCTGGCATCGAACTCAGAGGTCAGCCTGCCTCTGCCTCCTGAGTGCTGGGTGGGATTAAAGGCGTGCACCACCACCACTGGGCTGAGAAGTCTGTTTTAAGAGAGGTTGTTTGTGTTATATGCTGGTTATATGAAGAAGTTCAGACTGTGAAAACTAAGTGCGCTATAAACTTACTATAAGTGCCTTCCGTGTGTGTCTTTTATACAGGAGATTATGCTAGTTAAAAGTGTGACAGGATTAGAAACAAAAATCTCCTGTGCCCTAGGGATTCAGGGGATGAGACTTGAAGAGAGGAACCTTGGGTGTTTGGGGAGTACCAGTGTGGAGGTAGAGTAAGGGAGGCAGGGCATTTCAGAGTGGGATCTGCCTAAGGAGAGAGACACTCAACCACTGAGAAAAGGAGAATTGACTCGTTGGCCAGGGCCTCAGTAAATAAACAGGAGGCTGGAGAAGTCAGTTTGAGACAAACTGAAAGCTCCAATACTAAGATCTTGTAAGGAACTCAGACCTGATTTCTAGAAAGCCTGTAAAGGTGCCACCCCCACCTGGCAAATATACTTTCAAATATCTTTCCTGTATATGATTGAGGTTGAGGAAGAGACCTGGTCAGTCGTCCTCATCACTTTAGACCATGAAACCCAGTATGGGCAGGTTCAGCAGAACCACCATATACGGCCTGCCCATGCATGCTTCAGCATTACCAGGGTATAAATTTCATTTAATTTCATTCATATTATTGAGGGGAGACCTAGTCTCTTTCATAATTGTTCATTCAAAGCCCTATTTGTACCAGGAAGTGGTGGTGAATGCCTTTAATTCCAGCACTCCGGAGGCAGGAGGAAGAGGCTGGCGGATTGCTTAGTTCAAGGCCAGCCTGGTCTACAGAGTGATTTCCACACCAGCCAGGGCCACAGAGAAACCCTGTCTAGAAAAACAAAAATAAAACAATAACAAAGCTTATTCTAAATGAGAGAGAGAAAAAAAGAGAGACCTATTTAACTGTCTCATTCTGCCCAAAGTTTTTTTTCCTCTTTCTTTCTTCCTTAACAAAAACAAAACAGAGAACCAATAAGCAGCATTACATTGTAAGGTATCTGGCCACATCTCTGAAAAGTGCCAGTGGTCAGGATCTCTTTCATTACAGACAAGAAGAGAGGCGGAGACGCTCCTTCCAGGATTACACCGGGCAGAAGATCACCCTTGAGGCTGTCCTGAACACTACCTGCAAGAAGTGTGGCTGCAAAGGTACGGGACGTCTGCCATTCCTGTCTCCTCCTCTGTGTGTTCCCTGCTGGCTGAAGGAGACCATGTTAGTTTAGCTCGGTGTGTTTTTCAGTTGACCACAGCCTGAGCTCACTCACGCTGTCCTCTGCCACACTTATCCCCATGCACAATGGCTCTGCTCTAGAAACTAAGTGACTTGAAGATACATTCCCTAAGGATCCAAACTAGATCCTTTCTGCTCCATCTTTATCTCTTTAAGTTCAGAATTCTGAATATACTCTCCTTTTCTGAAATAAAGATAGAGGATTGTCACTTCCTTTTGGCTCCTTTTCCTCTGGTTTCTTCTAGTCTTACTCAAATATTAAAAGCTTTTCAGCCTGACTTCCCTTATTAGAACTATAACCAGAGAGATTGCCATCTTTTTATTTCCAGAGTGACCTCAATTTGTCCTCTCCTCCCTAGCTTTCCATCCATCACACTTTGTTCATTTTTCTGCAGTGACTGGCAGCAGATTTGTCCTGGTTGAATTTGTGGTTTGTTTTTTTTTAATTACTTATTTTATGTGCATTGGTGTTTTGCCTGCATGTATGTCTGTGTGAGAGTGTCAGATCCTGTAGCTGGAGTTACAGATAGGTGTGAACTGCCATATGAGTGCTGGGAATTGAACCTGGGTTCTCTGGAACAGCAGCCAATGCTCTTAACCACTAAGCCATCTCTCTAGCCCTAAATTTGTGGGGGTTTAAGCCCCTGTGTTTTATTAATGTAGAGCGAGAAGGAGACTGTAACAGTGAAAGAAGCAATAGCCCTTAAGGATATCGTGGTAATATTTGGATATTTGGTATTTAGATTATTTCCAGATATTTGGAAAACTTGTGTCCCTTCTCCAGACACCATCTAACTTCAAGGTTCAAAATACAAACACATTTACACATAGTTCTGTAGTTACTCCATGTACTTCTTTTCTACTCTTGAGATGAAGTGTCCTAGAAACTTCCTGTAGCTCTAGGTTCAGAGGATCAGACGCCCTCTTCTGGTCTCCTTAGGAATCTGCACTCATGTGCACACACACACACACACACACACACACACACACACACACATAGATATGCATAATTAAAAAAAAACCAAACCCAAAATAAAATAAAAAACAACTTATCTTCAAAAACAGCAAAGAGATCCTCAATCCACCACAGGCTCAGTGTGACCCCCTTACTTATCTGATGCTGCACAGAGCAGAGAAGAAGGACAAGAAGTAGAGTTTGACCTTCAGGATGAAGGTGCTTAGCTTCAGTGCATCAAAAGCAACACCAGAGGGAGAAACAGCCAGCCTGAGCTAAGTGTTTGCTTTGCTGCTGTGTGACTCTGAACTACTTAGTTCTAGGCCTTCGTATCTGATGTGTTGGATTTCACGATCTCTAAGGCCCTTGCCAGACCTGACAGTCTGAGTTCTCTGTCACCCTGGGCAACTGGGTCTGTCTCTGTGTGTGTTGGCTTGGATCGAGTGCCCACTTCCTGCCAGCTATCTTCCTTTAGGGCTTGGCCTGTAATTCAGTTCCCTCTGTTAAGCATTCTGCTTTCTGGAGCAACCTTTCATTGTCAGAGTAAGTTCCAAAATAGATCTTTAAAAATTAATAAGCCCCATTGCTAAGGGAGGGTGGCATAAGCCTTCTTGCTCGTATCTTCTGCCATTTCCGAAGCAGCACCAGTGTCTCCCGCAGCTCTAACACCAGCTGCTCGCCTGGCTCAGGTTGAATGAGCATTGCCACCTTGAGGTGGCAGAAACGTCACTCCAGATAAACTCAGTAATATCTTTGAAGCAGTAGCCCCTGCCAGGAGTCCCTGGGAAGCATCCACCTGAGGAGTGGGCGGCTCTTCATTCTCTTCCACAGGCCACTTCGCAAAAGACTGCTTCATGCAGCCAGGTGGAACCAAGTATTCTCTGATCCCCGAGGAAGAAGAGGAAAAAGAAGAGGCAAAGGAAGAAGGAATTGAGAAGCCTGATCCCACAAAGAATTCTTCCAGGAAAAGAAAGAAGGTAAGGCTGGCTTGCTTTTATTTATCACATTTTTGAAGGTATTAAAATACAAAGGCTTTGTGTAAGCAATTTAGAAGCAGTGAAAAATGAAAAAAGCAAGCTCTCATAATCTTTGCAGAGAGAGTTGTGTTGGTAGTTTTGGTATATTCTAACCTTTTTCCTAGCTAACAATACAAAGAGATGTATATACATATAAAATTATGATCATTGTAGATGTAGTTTATTCCCTACTTTTTTCACTTTTCTAATTTTTAAGTATCCTTAAGTGTTCTTAAAACACTTGATGTTAAAAGCCACATAGTGGGCGGATCTCTGAGTAAGTTCCAAGACAGCTAGGGCTACACAGAGAAACCCTGTCTTGAAAAAAATCCCACATGATATTTTACTAAATGGCTATGAATATTACTTGATTTAGTTAGTTAGTTTTGAGACAACTTATAGCCCAGACTGGCCTCAAACTTGCTAAATAGTACAGGATGACCTTAAACTCTTTATCCTCCTCCCAGGTGTGCTTAGCTCTAATTATTAGTTTATTTAAATATTATTGGACACTTCACACTTCCAACTTCAACCCTGGCTATACCTCCTTACTTCTTTGGGTATGTGTTCCTGGGTTAAGTTTACTGAGTTGAGACTGGGAAGATGGCTCAGTAGGTAAGAGCACTGGCTACTCCTGCATAGGACCTGGGTTCAGTTGTCCCTACCGAATGATGGCTCACAACTACCTGCTTCCAGTTCCAGGGCAATCTAACACCCTCTTCTGGCCTCCAAGGGCCATGCATACATGTAAGCAAAACACCCGTACACATAAAATAAAAAGAAATAAATTTTAGCAAAAGAGGGGAGGCTATGGAGAGCTGACTTGTGTGATAAGAGCTTGCGTTGCTCTTACAAAGGATCTAAGTTCAGTTTCCAGCACCCATGTCAGATGTGACCTGTAACTCTGGCTCCAGTGACATCTAACACCTCTGACCTCTGTGGTCTGTCTGCACTCATAGATAGGCATACATTTAAACATAATTTTAGCTGGGCAGTGGTGGTGCACGCTTTTAATCCCAGCAGTTGGGAAGCAGAGGCAGGTGGGTCTCAGTGAGTTCAAGGCAGCCTGGTCTACAGAGTGAGTTCCAAGATAGCCAGGACTGTTATACAGAGAAACCCTCTCTAGAAAAAAAACAAAAAACAAACAACAACAGCAACAACAACAAAAAAATCCACATATTTTTAAAAAACAATAAAATTAAATCCTAAAAAAAGATTACTGAGTTAAGGGAACCACCTGTAATCTTGGTGTGGAAGGTGGATTGCCACAAGTTCAGGGGCACTGAAGGATGTACGGTGAGTTCCAGGCATTTGGGAGCTGCAGTCTGTGACTCTGTCTTAGGGGGGAAAAAGCCTAGTGGATCCCTGTGAGTTGAAAGCCAGCTTGGAGTACATAGAGAGTTCCAGGACAGCAGAGCTACAAAGAGAGAGACCCTGTCTCAACAGGAAAAAAGAAAACAAGCAAACAGAAGAAAATGCATTGAGTGGTCATTTTGTGTCAGGCATTGCCAGCTTCAGGGGTGAAAGGCTCTGGTGTAATCTTTCCCTCAGTGGCATCATCACAGAGAAGGATTATTCTCATTTTGCAGGTAAGGAAAAGGGTTAGAAGAATTAGCCAAGTAACGTGAAAGTCACTGATTTGTATAGTCTCTCCATCTCCCTGACCTGGGGCCTCCCTAGTTCTTTAGACTTTGGCTTGAGTCTTCCAGACCTGTTTGAGGTCCTTGGGAACTTGTGACGAGCTGTGTAAGTTTAAACTAACCACTGTTCTTTCAGCTGCAGAGTGGGATTGTTGTGATCTTTGGCAGTGTTCCCTATGGGGTGATGCCCAGCTCCTCAAAATAGAAAGTGATGACAAGTCAGTTCCTAATTGGTACTGACTGTTTTTGGAGACATGGTCTCATAGCTCAGACTGAGCTCAGACTTCAGTAGTTCAGGCGACCTTGAACTGATGATCCCCACCTCCACCTCTGGGAGTGCTTCACTATAGCACCTAGCTCCAGTACTCTTAAACACACCACCTTAATCTCTTATCTCTCTGGGTTGGGGCGGGGAGGTTGTTTGACTTTATTGTTTATTGTCTATGGGTGTTTTTCCTGCATGTATGTCTGTTCACCATGTGTGTGCCTGCTGCCAGCAGAGGCCAGAGAAGGAACTGGATGCCCTGGAGCTGTAGTACAGATGGTTGTAAACTGCTGTGTAGATGCTGGGAATTGAACCTGGGTCCTTTGTTAGAGTTGCCAGTACTTTTTTTTCCTGTTGTTTTTGTTTTCTGTTTTTTTTTTTTTTTTTTTTTTTTTGAGACAGAGTTTCTCTGTAGCTGGAGCCTGACCTGGAACTAGCTCTTATAGACCAGGCTGGCCTCGATCTCACAGAGATCCGCCTGCCTCTGCCTCCCGAGTGCTGGGATTAAAGGTGTGTGCCACCATCGCCCAGCCCTGAGTTGCCAGTACTCTTGACCAATGAGCCATCTCTCCACCACTCCCCCTTCATCTCTTTTATGAGCTCTCTCTGACAACACACACACACTTGTGTCTGCCCTTCTGTTTATATAACTTGTCTTAACAGCAATAACATCCTCCTAGGAGAGAAGCCATATGCCTTTATTTCATTCTCTGTCTCACGTTCTTAGTTCCTGGGTCCTGCCAAAAGCTCTCTACTATTACTAACGATGACTACTACTCCTTCCTCCTCCTCCTCCTCCTCCTCCTTGTGTCTGCTTGTGTCCCAGGCTAGCCATGGACTGGTGATCCTACTGTTGGTGATCCTACTGTTGGCCTCCAGAGTTTTGTTGACATTGTAGTTGTGCCTGGAGAGGGCATTTTTAAAGCATCTTAAAATTTATATTGCTTCTGCCTTACATGTGTCCAGGAGAGTGTTAGTCACTTGATATAACAAGATACTAAGGTCATCTTTAGCCAGTTTGTTTGTTGGTTGGTGTCTGTGTGCTTTAAAGATGCTGAGAGTCCATGTCTGTGGATTCAGACACTGCTCTAGTCCTCAGTTCTGGGGCCACATGAAGAACTGAATAGACTGATCTGAAGGGCGTGCATTCAGCCATCCACACAGGAATGACTGTGTATGGTAGGCATCCCACGTGAAGTACAGGTCACAGCACTCAATCAGCTAATTGCTTACGAACAGGCATGTATGGTAATAGAGGAGAGAAACTAATCCCAAGGAGGTCACTGGCTCTCAAAGGACAGGAGTGAAGTGTAGTCAAGCCCACTCAGGACTGCAGCAAGAGTCAAAAACTGAAGCTGTTGAACCTTATCTGTTTCTTCTAGAGTCTGCTTCAGTGTCTGGCTTCTGTGTTCTGGTAGGAGAGCATATTTAATACTAAGCTCAGAAGATTCCTGGCAAAGCCGAGGAAGGAGGAAGAGGCAGGGAGTAAAGATGCCGTGTGTCACAACAATAAATATCTGGCATACAACAGGCCTCCTCTGACTTAGGGTAGCTAGACCCCATATTTCTCCTTGGTTCCTCCCCTCAGTGTGGAGAGAGATGGATTTTGCCTTTGCTGCTGCTGGCGGGGAATATTAACTTTCTCCTACCCCCTTTCACTGAGCATACATGCCTCGCACTCTTGTCCTTACCCACACAGCCATCGTGTGTCCGTTTAGCAGTGTATTCAGGACAGAACATGGCAGTGTCTGTCCTAGTGTCTGAAAGCTGTGACTCATTTGCTAGACTGTAATTAGAACAAGAGGAAGCAAAGTCATAAATAGAAATGGTTATAAAATGGTAAAAAAGGAATTGGTTCTTATGATGAACCCATAAGGAGAGCCTTTGGTGTCCAGCCCCAAGACCCTCTTTAGGGTTCAGGCTGGACGCTACAGCAAGCGAAAGGGACTTTTTTTCTTAGGGTATCTGAGGGTGAATGAACTCACCCTCTTTCACTCTGCTTTTCTGAATCAGTCTCTTTATTGTTTTTCTTCTATTCTAATCCCCTACTACTAATTCCTCCTAGCTTCTTCCCTCCTAGCCTAAAGACTCTTCTTTTTACAGGAGCCTTGAAGTGATAAAAAAAATTATAAGAATTAGCTCTCATTGGTCAAAAGTCCATGCCTAGGGTAAGCAATTAAGGAGCTGAGCCATTGCCATGACAACCCAAGGTTCCAAAGTTGCAGGAGTAAGACCATGACCAGACAGGGGCTGGGGGTGGGCTACAGTGCCCAGTGACAAACTTTGAGACATAGGTCTATTGTCAGCAGACTGGCAAGAGAAGAATTTGCATGCCTTTATTAGGGTACTTTGTATTGCAACCTTGGTTGGACATCTGAGACTTTGACCTTGGACATAGCTGTACAGTTTTAAACTTATGATCTATTTGCAGAAAGCCTTTAGTCTAGTTTGAACTTGTTCGGAGGTGAAAATGAGCTAATTGTGTGCAGTTAGTCTAAAAAAAAAGAACAAGCGAGCTTTTAAGGGTCATTGTGGGAAAATAGATCTAGTTAGGAAGTATGTCCTAGTATATTTCCTGTATATCAGAATTATAATGAAAGTCATGGTGACCAAGCACAGATATATGTGCCCATAAGACTGAGATATAATCATGAGATAACATGCACACATCACATGAGGTCGCACACTACAATGCAGGTATTGGGAGACACCAGGCTGCAACAGTCTCCAGAGTCTATGGTCCTGCAGGCTTTGTCTGGACAGGATTGACCTCCATCAGAGTAACTCCTCTGGTGGGCCGGCATCTGAATTCAATTGCCATGTGCTGTATATTTCCACGGCCTCTGACAAACCCATAGATAATCTTTTTTTTTAATTCTAATTTAGTTCATCATTTTTATTTTGTGTGTGTGAGGGTGCACACGTACCATGGTGTGTGAATGAGTGAAAGTGTGTGTGTCAGAAGACATCTTTTGGGATGTCTTTCCACCATGGGATTTGGAGTATTTTATACCTACTGAACCATCTTCCCAGCCCCTTCTTTGGATAATGTCCTC